TGAACCAGGTTCGCGCAGGTCCGTTCGGTGGGCCCTGAAAGGGCCCTCCCAAAACGACTAGCCAAGGGAGGGGAGGGGCAGGAACTGGAGGGCCGTGCGCCTACCTTGTCGCCGATGCCGTTGCCAGCCAAGTCCAACATCTTGAGCGTGGTGTTCACCCCGAGCACCTGCGGGCCGCCGGATCATCCGCTGCCAACCAGTCCTGCCGCCGGAGGGCCTCGGGGCACTTGCGGGAGCTCCCAGGATTAAACGAGGCCAGAGCTGGGACAGGAGGAAGGAGCCGGAGGGAGGAGGGGGGAGGAGGAGGAGGAGGAGGAGGAGGAGGAGGAGGAAGATGAGGAGGAGGAGGAGGAAGGAGGGGAGGAGGAGGAGGAGGAGGAGGCGGAGGCTGAAGGAGAGGGAAGAGGAGGTGGAGAGAGGAGAGGGGGGGCTTGAATTGTTTTGATGTGGTCCCCCCGGGACCAGTTGGGGATGTCTGAGATATAGTGGCTCTGGAGGATGTGTGGGGGGCGCCGCGGCCGCTCCGGAGCGCTCCGGAACGATCTGATAGCGCTCTGGAACGCACTGGAGCGACGACGTACCCCAATCTAACCTTACCCGAGGGTTCCCGGGGGCCCCCGGGCCGTCGTATCGTCGGGCATCCTGGGCGCAGAGCCAGGATCAATCGGCATCGAATCAGGAAACCGAAGTTGAGTCGGAGTGCGCGCCTGATCGGGCCGCGTCGGCACGGAGCCGAACCCGATTCGATCGGCCGCGCCAGGATGATCAGCAGGGGCACGCGAGCACCGGGCCACAGCGGATCGTCAAAACATCGGAAACGAGCCGGAGCGAGCTGGCCCGGATCGACAGCGGATCGAGTCGACTAGGTCGAGATGAGCCCCGACACGGGGGTGGTCTTCGGAGCCTCCTGCGCGACGGCATCTGAGATAGGGGGCCACATGCGCGCCCTACCCCTGCCCCCCACGATTTCTGAGGGGGAGGCTGGGGTTCACTTCGTTCAAGAGCTCCCGAGCGAAGTACCCTCCCCCTCAGAAATCGTGGGGGGGAGGTAAGCACTGAGATTCGCACAAGAGATCAAATTCTGGTGTATACGGCATCCTGGTGTATACATTTGTCGTTGCTTCCACGGGAAAACGGGAAAACGAGCATACACCACACCGCCCCAACGTCGCCCCCGACCCTCAAAAAGTCCTGGAATTGAAAAACGGCTCGCCACTGGTAATGTATGCGTTCCAGTTTCCGGGTAGGGGTAGGGCTCGCAGAACTCGTGGGGGTAGGGGTAGGATTAAGTCGGGCGTGTCCCCCTACAGATTTTCAACGAAAAACTAAAACTATCCCCAAAATACTCCAGGATGGTCACAGAATCTTCAAAACATAGTCCCCGGACCATTTTGGGGACTATTTTTGAGCATCCCCCCTGTAGAGGGACAGGCCCGACTCAGGGGTAGGGCTCGCATGTGGCCCCCTACCTCAGGGGGCTTCCGAGGGCACCGACCCCGTCGCAGCGCGGGCGGAGAGAAGGCGCGGGGGGGGGGGGGCAGCGGTGGAGGCCGCGTAGGAGAAACATGTCGAGAAGCGGCGTGCGCAGGCAGGAGGAGGAGGAGGAGGAGGCAGGAGGAGGAGGAGGAGGCAGGAGGAGGCAGGAGGAGGAGGCAGGAGGAGGAGGAGGAGGCAGGAGGAGGAGGAGGAGGCAGGAGGAGGAGGAGGAGGAGGAGGAGGAGGAGGCGGCGGGAGGGGGCGCGGGCCTTCCTCGGGAGGGGGCCGCCCTCGGCGTGGGGAAGATCCTGGGGCGGGCGCCCCGGAAGGCCTGCCGTGGGGCCCTGCGGGGGGCCCTGCGGGGCGGGGCGCGCCGGCGCGGAGTCGGGGAGAGGCACGGGCAGACTTCAAGGGGCCCCAGGGCACACAAGAAAAGACACACAAACGAAAAGATGCCCCCCATTTCCCCAGATGTTCTGGGTTCCTTGAAGGGGCCCCAGGGCACACAAGTAAAGACACACAAATGAAAAGATGCCCCCCATTTCCCCAGATGTTCTGGGTTCCTTGAAGGGGCCCCAGGGCACACAAGTAAATACACACACAAATGAAAAGATGCCCCACGTTTCCCCAGATGTTCTGGGTTCCTGTCTTCCCCCCCACTTCCCATGTTTTCCCATATTTTCCTGGGAGTCGACGTTTAATTGTGTCTGTGTGTTTTTTCCCCTCCTGAAAACTGGCCGCCGGGGCAGACAAGTAGAGAGACAGAGATCCCACAATTGCCCACGCGTTTCCACATGCTCCGGAGGCTCGTCTCCCCCCCCCCCTTTCCCACACTCTCCTCCATCTCCTGGAGGTCGACGATGATGCTCTCCTGAGTGCTCTGTTGCTCCGAGTTGGATCGGGGAGGCATTAGACTCGGGTTCGGGACACTCGGAATTTCCTGACCGGGTGTTCCGGAAAATGTGACGAAACCTAATCTGAAATTTGACGCAAGCTCCCTCTGCACACGTCGCACGAAAATTGAACTCGCAAGACTCGGGACAGGCCGTCAAAAAGCGTCGGCGAACCCCCGGATTCCGGCGAATTCGAGTCGTACGTTACCCCTCAACAGAACACAACCCTCGCCCAGCCCGTTGCTGCTCCCTTTCATGTGCAGGGCCATGCTGGATCTCACTGGCTTCCTGCAAGTCTGCTGAGGAACGAGCAACACGCGAACGACGGCACGGGGGGCAGCGCTCCTCTGTCGGACCCCAACAAAGAACGGAGGTCCAAGAGATACAGCCGCAGCGGCCCCCAAAACGAGTTCTTGCAGGCTTTATGGCCTCGCGTGGCCCATCGTTGCGCGCCGACGCTCCTGGTGCTCGCTAAGTCAAGGGCAGAAAACACGCCCCTACCCTGGTTTACGAGGCGCTGTGCGCTGAAACTCCTGTGGGCTGACAGGGCAAACCCTGCGTGATGTGCCGCGTCCCGGCGGCTCTAGGCTTTGGGAGTTCCCAGGAGGTTTACAGACCACGCACTTGTAACCCAAGGTACACCCTGCGAAATGCTTAAGAAATCATGGGTTCAGAAATTCATAGTCTCAGAACTAGGATAAAAACCCAACAGTTCCTATCAAAATCTTAGGAATTACATTTGAAACGTTAAGAAAAATCGATACTCTGGCCGAAAACTTCAGTTTTCTTGCGCATCGCCTAAGGTGTAGGGTCGTTTTTTCATCCCTCAGCTAAGGGTCTCAGAAATCAAATAAAACCCACAAGTTCTATCAAAATCTTGGGATTTACATTGAAAAGTTAAGAATAATCGAGACTCTGGACGAAAACTTTGGTTTTCTTGAGCATCGCCTAGGGTGTAGCCGTCGTCGTCGAGGCTCGCTCTCGCTGGGCGCTGCCACCCCTTTTGGGGCCTCAGGGAGCTGAACAATGGGGGGGTCCTCCTCCTCCTCCTCCTCCTCCTCCTCCTCCTCCCTCTCCTCCTCCTCCTCCGCCTCCTCCTCCCTCTCCTCCGCCTCCTCCTCCCTCTCCTCCGCCTCCTCCTCCTCTCCTCCTCCTCCTCCTCCTCCTCTCCTCCTCCCTCACTCTCCTCCTCCCCTCTCCTCCTCGTGTACAGACCACGCACCTGTACCCCAGGGTAGGGGGAAGGCAGGGCCTTTTGGTTTCCTCCCTCCGCTAAGGGACCAGGGGTGCCGGTCGCTGGCCTCTCGTGGGCTGCCCGGGGGGGGCGCCCTCCTCGCGCCAGGCGCACGAGGCGCGGCCATCGCATGGGCGTGGTTGTTTTGCGTTTTTTTAGTTTCTTATTTGTTTTGTGTTGGTTTTTTTAGTTTTGTTTTTATAGTTGTGTATGTATTGTGGTGTTTTTTGTTTGTTGTGTCTTGTTGTTATTTTTGTAGGGTCTTGTGTTTTATTGTGTAGTTTTCGTTTTATGTTTTTTGTATTTTTTTTTGTTGTGGTGGGTTTTTGGTTTTTATTGTGGTATGTTAGTGGGTTCTTTTTTGTACCGTTTTTCGTTTCTTATTTTCCCCCCCGCCCCCATTCCTTGTGCTTCGTTCCGACTTCGTGCGTGTTTTTTTTGTTCCGCAGGAGGATCCAGGACGCTCCTGAACCACCCCCGCCGAGGAAAAAATGCACGCGTCCGAGCGATACCGAGGCCGCCCGCGGGGGCAGCGCCCTGCGCGCGCAGAGGCTCGCACGGGCCCCGCGGGCCCTCGCGGAAGAGAGCGCGGCCGGCGACGAGCCCCGAGAGGCTCCTTCCCCTTCCTGCTCCTCCTCCTCCTCCTCCTCCTCCTCCTCCTCCTCCTCCTCCTCCAATTGCGTGTCCTCCTCCCCCATCTTCCTCCGCCTCCTCCTCCCCCTACTGAAGATCCGCCTCACCCTCCTCATCATCATACGATCGAAATCGCCATAATCCACTATTCTCGTCCACGCCATCATCGTCGCCATCGCCATCGTCATCATTACCAGTATCATCACGACCACAACCATCATCCTTCTCCCCCTCCACACGATCATCATTACCTTAACCGCCACAATCCTCAACCTCATCCGCATGCTCATCACCATTATCATCATCCTCCTCATCAGCATCTACATCATCAGCAGCAGCATCATCCTCCTCATCATCCTAAGCTTCTTCATCATCAGCATCATCAACATCATCAGCATCATCATCAGCAACAGCAGCATCCTTATCAGGATCAGGATCATCATCATCAACAGCATCATCCTCATCATTGTAATCATCATCATCATCAGCAGCAGCAGCAGAAGCAGCATCAGCATCAGCATCATCACCAACACCACCAACACCACCATCGTATCAGCAGCACCCTCATCAGCATCAGCATCCTCATCAGAATCAGCATCATCATCATCATCACCATCATCATCATCATCATCATCATCATCATCGTCGTCATCGTCGTCGTCATCGTTGTCGTCGGCACCGTGAGCACCATCAACAACAACAATAACATCAGCAGCATAGTCATCGTCCGATCAACATCATCCTACACATCATCATCATATCATCATTATCATCATCACCATCATCATCATCATCATCAGCATCATCGTCATCATCATCATCAGCAGCATCCGTAACATCAGCAGCAACATCATCATCAATATCAACGACAGCATTAGCATCATAAGCAGCCGCATCTTCATCGGCATCATCACAATCAGCATCATCATCAAGGCCATCATCAACATCATTGGTATCGTCATCCGTACCATCATCACCAACACCACCACCTGCATCATCATCATCATCAGCAGCAGCATCAGCATCGTCACCATCAACCTAAACATGTTTATGATCATTATCAACAACGACAAAGTCAACATCGGCATCTCCATCGTCGCGAGCATTATCAACAACAACAGTATCGTCGGTGTCATCGTCGTTACCATCAAAGCCGTCATCAGCGTCAGTATCATTATCGTCAGCATCATCACCAGCATCATCGTCGGCATCATCACCACCATCATCATACACATCATCATTGCTACATTGTTATTCCCGTCAGCATCATCATCATCATCAGCATCATCAGCATCCGTAACATCAGCAGAAACATCATCATCAATATCAACGACAGCATTAGCATCATAAGCGGTCGCATCTTCATCAGCATCATCACAATCAGCAGCATCATCATCATCAAGGCCATCATCAACATCATTCGTATCGTCATCCGTACCATCATCACAACCACCACCACCACTTGCATCATCAGCATCATCAGCAGCAGCATCAGCATCGTCACCATCAATCTAAACATGTTTATGATCATCATCAGCAACAACAGCAAAGTCAACATCGGCATCTCCATCGTCGCGAGCATAATCAACAACAACAGTATCGTCGGTGTCATCGTCGTTACCATCAAAGCCGTCATCAGCGTCAGTATCATTATCGTCAGCATCATCATCAGCATCATCGTCGTCATCATCACCACCATCATCATACACATCATCACTGCTACATTGCTATTACCATCAGCATCAGCATCATCTTAGTCATCAGCATCGTCATCGTGATCAGAATGGTCGTCACCATCATTAGCACCACCACGATCATCATCTCATGGTCGTCGTCATCATCATCAGCAGCATCATCATCATCATCCTCATCATCACCACCATCAGCATCATCATCAGCATCATCATCATGTTCATCATCATCAGCAGCAGCATCATGATCAGTATCAGTATTGTCATCGTCATCGCCATCTTCATCGTCAACGCCATCGTCATCGTTGTCCACCCCTTCCCCCTTGTCCTCATTTTCTTAAGAATACCGTGAGAGCGGAGGCTCGCAGCATCAACGAGGCTCCGCCTCGGAGCCTCCCCCTCCTGCTGCCCCTCGCGGCAGGGTGGCCGGCCCCTCGCCTTCGCGAGCGCCGCGGCGCCGTCGTCCTGGATGTTGCTGCCCTCCATCTCGAGCAGCCTGACAGTCCTGAGGGAGGGGGGGGCGACGCTGTCGCCGCTGCACTGGAGGGTCGGCACCATGGATCCAGTGGACGTGCGGCGGGTGCGCGTCGTGACGATCTGGTCATTCATTTCTGACGCCGCGTGGCTCGTCAAACCTCGAGCGATCGGCGGCTTTTCGGTGGACAGATCGTTCCGTATCGGCCGATTCGACACCACTAGCGGCGTTTCGTCTTGAACGCCCGCGGTGGGGTCGCTGCCGCGTCGGCACAGCACTAACCTGCCGCATCTAGCTTCGCAACTGCCGCATCGGAAGAATTCTAGGCAGAGGAAGAGAAAGTAGAGGTATCAGGCGTGTGGGGGCACGAAGCGGTGTGAAGGCAACTTGCAGCTAGAGAGCGACCATCTCAAAAAGAAGCTGCGCACCATCTCCATATCACGCCAAGGCCACACTGGAGGTTGGTGTTCCGTCCTGGCCTCGACCAGGATGGTCCACACACCATCCGAAGGCCCAGTAAAGCCCTGGCCAGTCGCGTAGACGTACAGGTGGGGAAAGGACAGAGGCGGGGTTGGAGGAAAATCGCCCAGAGCTGCCCCTGGAAAGGGGACATGTGAGCATCCAGCCAGGTCCGCGTCCGTTCCCTGACCCCGCCTTGGCATAACCCTGGCACCACCACACGAACCATATCCTCTACAGTTTCGTCTTCCCCTCCACTTCCCAACGTTTCGCATGTCTTTCGGCGGCGACGATAAGGGTGAATAGCCCAACGGCGGGCACTACACGCATTCAACCGGGATCCTTGTCGAACACATAAATCATCGGCGCCCCTGGATACATGTATTGCTCCCCCCTGGGCTATTCGCCCCTATTGTCGCCTCTGGCCGTCTCTTCTGGAGTTTCGTCTTCCCCCCCACTTCCCAGCGCTTCCCATTTCTTCATGGGAATATAAGGGAACAAAAAAGTGGCGTAAAAAAAAATCGGACGTCCGCGCGGATTTCTCGGATCGGCGCTGGACCCCCCTCCCTGGCGCGCGGAGCAAGGTTTTAGGAAAGTGTTAAGAAGGTTTCTCCAAACACCTTCCAAGAACCTTCCAAAAACCTTCCAAAAACCTTCAAACAAATCGTTCAACCAACCTTTCTAAAACCTTCCAGCATTTAGCGAAACCGCCCAATACATATCAACAGCATTCCAAAACCGTCCAACATATCTTCCAAAAGCCTTCCAAACACCTCCCGAGACAAAAACAAACAACAACAAAAAACAAACAAAAAAACGACAGAATCTCCAGAAACCTTCAAAAAAAAACCGTCCGAAAACCTCCCAAAAATCGTCCTAAAACCTTCCTCGGGGAGGTTCCAGGGGGGGTTGGCCCAAAAACCTTCCAAAAACCTTCCGGAAGGAAGGTTTCAGGAAGGTTGTTTTGGAAGGTTCCAGGAATCCCAGAACCTTCCTGAAGCAGGTTTGAGGAAGGTTTGTCCCAACCATCCTGTGGCGTTGGGTCCTCGTTTTGAAGAGACGGTCCCCGCGTTCCTTTCCTCTTCTCCCCCTCTTCCCCCTCCTCCTCTCCACCGCCCGCATGCGTCCCAAACGCCCATTTCGGCACATCCCTCACACGCTTCGTGGCACCATAGAGAGCTCCACCAAAGGCCCCAGTGGGACCGCCCGCACGCGTCCCCCACACCAATTTGGCACTTTCACCCACCCAGTACAGCGTTTCGTGGCCCGTAGGGAGCTCCACCGAAGCCCCCAGTGGGACCGCCCGCATGCGCCCCCCACGCCCAAAATAGCATTTTCACCCACCCAGTACAGCGTTTCGTGGCCCGTAGGGAGCTCCACCGAAGCCCCCAGTGGGACCGCCCGCATGCGTCCCCCACACCCAATTGGGCATTTTCACCCACCCAGTACAGCGCTTCGTGGCCCAATAGGGAGCCCCACCCAAGCTCCCAGTGGGACCGCCCGCATGCGCCGCCCACACCCAACTTGGCACTGTCATCCACCCAGCACAGCCTTTCGTGGCCCCATAGGGAGCTCCACCGAAGCCTCCAGTGGGACCGCCCGCGTGCGTCCCCCACAGCCAATTTGGCATTTTCACCGACCCAGAACAGCGCTTCGTGGCCCCATAGGGACCCCTCCTCCTCCTCCTCCTCCTCCTCCTCCTCCTCCCTTCCTCCTCCTCCTCCTCCTCTCCTCCTCCTCCTCTTCCTCCTCCTCTTCTCCTCCTCCTCCCCCTCTTCCTCCTCCTCCTCCGCCCCTCCTCCTCCTCCCTCCTCCTCCTCCTCCTCCTCCGCTCTTCCTGTTTCTCCTCTTTCTTCTCGTTCTCGTTGTCGTCTCCTCCTCCCCTCTCCTCCTCCTCCTCCTCCTTCTCCTCGTTGCCCTCATGCCAATAGTTATCCTCTTTCCCCTCGTTGTCCTCTTTCTCCTCTTTCTCCTACTCCTCCTCCTCCTCCTCCTCCTCCTCCACCTCCTCTCCTCCTCCTCTTCCTCCTCCTCACGTTCGTATTATTATTAGTTTGATTAGCATTCGTAGGAGTAGCAGTATTGTTGCTATCATTATTAAAAAGTTGTTTCTTAATATTAGTAGTATTGCAAACAGTATTATTATTAGTTACCATATTATTTCTAGTCGTATTATGGGTATGGATGGTTTTCGCATTCTTCTGATTGGTATGAATAGTACGATTCGCATTAGTGTGCTTGTGATGATTATGATTCTTAGTGTCATTAGTATTAGCATTGTTTTTCTGACTCGTCCTATTGTTCTTCTTAGAATCAGTATTACTCTTTAGTATTACTATTAGTAGTATGGTTCTTCATTTTGTATTAGTGTTAGTATCCTTGGTGTTCCTTTTCTTCGTAGTAGTAGTAGTACTATTCTTCTTATTCGTATGATTACTATTGCTAATAGTAGTCTCAGTATTATGTATTATGATTATCATTATTCTCCTGACAGTATTAGTATTGTTAGTATTAATAATACTCTTGTCCTCATTAGTAATCGTATGTTTGTTGCTAGTGTCATTATTATCATTAGTTTTGGTTTTAGTTGTGTTCGTCTTCTACTTATTATTATTAGTAGTAGTAGTAGTAGTAGTAGTAGTAGTATTATTATTATTATTATTATCATTCCTCTTCTTCTTATTCCTCCTCCTCATCCTCCTCCTCCTCCTCCTCGTCCTCGTCCTCGTCCTCCTCCTCCTCCTCCTCCTCCTCCTCCTCATCCTCCTCCTCCTCCTCCTCCTCCTCCTCCTCCTCCTCCTCCTCCTCCTCCTCCTCCTCCTCCTCCCCCCACAGCAAAACAACGGGCTGCCAACGGTTGACATCCCCATCCGGTCGTGTTCGACTCCAGCGCCCTCGCCAGCTCCTTCGCGGCCTCCGGCCCAAGGGTCTTGCCGAGAAGCGAGATGTGGGGCAGCCCGGCCTCGACGCTCTGCAGGGCCTGAGCCAACGCCCTCCAACGCCTCTTCCTCCTGCTCCTGCTGCTTCTGCTGATCCTCCTTGTCCTCCTGCTCGTCCTCGTCATGGTCCTCCTCCTCCTCCTCCTTCTCCTCCTGCTCGTCCTCGTCATGGTCCTCCTCCTCCTCCTACTCTTCCTCCTCCTGCCCCCCTGTTCCTTCTGATGCTCCTGCTCCCGCTCCCCCCTCCTCCTCCTCTTCAACACATACTCATGTTAGTGATCCGATTGGGCGGGGTGGGCACGTAAAGACCCGCGCTTCGCTCGAAGCATCCTCAACGAATCCTCGTGTCAGAGATCCGCATGGGCGACGCGGAACATGCGTGAAAATAGATTGGTCCATTGCGCGCCAGGGCGGAACAGTAGTGAAAGCACGTGGGCCCCTTGTCGCCCCAGAGCGGAAGAAACCTGAAAACACACGGATGGGTCTCCGCTGCCCCAGAGAGCAGCAAGCGTGAAACAGCGTGGGTCCATGGCGCTCCAGAGCGCAGCAATCGTGAACGCACAGAGGGCCCCTTCGCCCCGGAGCAGAACGGGCGCGAAGGCACGCGGGTGCACGCCGCCCCCGAGCGCAGCAAGCGTGACATTGCATGGGCCCCTTTCGCCCCGGGCCCCAAGACGGATTGTGCCATGTGCTTGTGCACAGAGCCGCTTCGTTGAGTGTGCCCTGCTGTTCTGCCCTCCCTCACATCCGGGAGGGGGAGCCCGCCCCTGGGTGGCCAGGACGCGTGACAACACGTGGGCCCTTTACGACCCAGGGCGCAGCAAGGATGAAATCACGCGGGCCCCGTTCGCTCCTGAGCGCAGTAAACGTGAAAACGCGTGGCCCTTTCTGTCGCCCCAGAGCGGAAAAAGCGTGAAAAAACGTGGGCTCATTTCGCCCCAAAGCGCAGCACGCGTGAAAACACGTGGGCCACCGTTTTGTCACGCCGAAGCGGAGCAAGCGTCAGGGAGTGTTTTCACGCTTGCTCCGACCTGAGGCGAAAGGGACCCACGTGCTTTCATGATCGTTCTGCCCTGTGGCGAGTGGGGCCCACCTGATTTCACGTTCGCCGAGCCCTGGGGGCAACCATGTTATATACCTCACTGGGCGACCTGGACACGCGAAAACAAGCATTTCGCCGGAGACATCCTCTGAATTCTGCCCCCCAGGAGAGGAACAATCTGTAGGACAAAACAAACGTTTCGCTCGAGACATCCTCAACCAAGTCTGAAGCGTCTCGCTCGAAACATCCGTAACAAACGAAAATGTGAACTTCACCCGTTGATTATCGTTCTGCATTTCAAAAAGAAGCGTTTTGCCTGAGACATCCTCGAAGTTGAATCCGCTGGCCCTCTTCGACATCGTTATTTACCAGGGAAGGAATTATCCGGGAAAGAATCCGCAAGCCCTCTTCGAACTTGGAACTGTGGACAGGTTACCACACTAAAAAAGGACCCTGGGCCGAGCCACTTTCCGGGAACAAATAAACGCGCCCCGTAAGAATCGGAACGACTTGTGCTTCTTGGGCCCCTCCTTGGGGCACTCTGGGAACCCTCTCGGGGCGTCTTGAGGGCCTCGTAGGCCGTCTGGAAGCCATATATGAGATCTTGGAACGCTCTTGGACCGTCTCCGAGACCTCGTGGACCACTCGGGAGCCTGGGACACACAAATTAATACACACTATTTTTTCTCGGTTTCTGTCTTCCCCCCCCACTTCCCATATTTTCCCATATTCTCTGGGGGATCGACGATTCATTGTGTCTGTGTGTTTTTCTCCCTCCTGAATGATGCTGTGCCCCTCGGGCCCTGGATCCGACGCGGCCCAGTGCAGGCGCGGTTTGACGATGGCTCGGCCCCCGGTCACCTGCAAGTCGCTGCGGAAGCCAGGGGCGCGGTGCGAGCCTGGGGCCTGGCTCCACCAGCTGGCCTCGCCACCGCGACGAGGCCAGACTTGCGCCAGCACGCCGAGGGGGAGGGGGAGGCTGCCCTGGATGCTGCTGCCGCTGCGGAGGCGGAGGCGGAAGAGTGTCTCCTCGAATGCGGGGGTCATCGCCTCCATCGAGCGGGAGCGTTCCTGTTTGGGGGGGCTTTGCGGGGCCCCAGTGGCCCTCGGATCTTCCAGGAGCGGCGCCCTTGGGGCCCCCTGATCCAGGATGCCCCTGGATCCTGCCGGTTGCCGCGCCCGTGAGTGCCTGGACGACGGCAGGCGTCCAACTACAGGTGTCAAGCTCTGCTGCTCACCTTGTCTGGCCTCTGTGAGTGCAGGTAACTACCGCTCTCCCGTCGCATAATTGCATGGGCCCTATCTTCGAACGGCTGTCTGCTGTATGGCTCGCTCGCTCCCTCGCTCCTGCCCCCCCTCCCAGTGAAAGCCAGGCCTCGTCGCGCATCCCCTGGGACCGCAGACCAGGAAGGGGAAGACGACGACGATGACGACGACGACGAGAATCGACGACGACGACGACGACGATCACGACGACGACGATCACGACGACGACCACGTTGATCACGACGAAGACGACGAATGCGACGACGCCGACGACGACGACGACGTCGACAACGACGACGCCGACGGAGGCCGCCGACGGCTACGAAAGACGGTCGCCGACGACCACGGCGAGACGGCTGCGGCTGCAGCGCGCCTCATTGAGGGCCAGCTGAGTCTGCGCCTTCCGCTCGGTTCGCGGCGACCGCGGCATCGTTGGGCCCCCGCGGCACCCCGCGGCACCCCGCGGCACCCCGCGGCACCCCGCGGCCCAAAACCGCAGCGGCGATCGGGGCGGGCCGCTCGTCGTCGTCGCGGCCGTCGTCGGCCGCTGGCGTCGTCGATGTCGTCGTCACTCTCCTGCTCCTCCTCCTCCTCCTCCTCCTCCTCCTCCTCCTCCGCCTCTCCTCCTCCTCCTCCTCCCCTCCTCCTCCTCCTCCTCCTCCTCCTCCTCCTCCTCCTCCTCCTCCTCTCCTCCTCCTCCTCCTCCTCCTCCTCCTCCTCCTCCCTCCTCCTCCTCCTCCTCCGTCCTCCTCCTCCTCCTCCTCCTCCTCCGCCTCCTCCTCCTCCTCCTCCTCCTCCTCCTCCTCCTCCTCCTCCTCCTCCTCCTCCTTCCTCCTCCTCCTCCTCCCCTCCTCCTCCGCCTCCGCCTCCTCCTCCTCCTCCTCCTCCTCCTCCTCCCTCACTCCTCCGCCTCCGCCATCCGCCTCCTCCTCCGCCTCCTCCTCCTCCTCCTCTCCTCCTCCTCACCTCCCCTCCCCTCCTCCTCCTCCTCCTCCTCCTCCTCCCCTCCTCCTCTCCTCCCTCCTCCTCCTCTTCCCCCGCCTCCCCCTCCTCTCCTCCTCCTCTTCCTAGTCCTCTTCCCTCCTCCTCCTCCTCCTCCCTCCTCCTCCTCCTCACTCCTCCTCCTCGTCCTGCTCATCGTCGTGGTCGTCACCGCCGTCGGCCTCGTTTCTTCTCCTCCCCTCCTCCTCCTCCTCCTCCTCCTCCTGATCATCCTCCTCCGCACATCATCAGCGGCAAGCAGCACCACCAACCATCATCGCCATCGCCATCACCATCACCTCACCACAGACAGCAACTTTCGAACCACCATCACCACCAACCATCCTCCTCATCCTACCACCTCGCTCCCTTCCTCTGCCTCCTCCTCCTCCCACGCCTCCTCCTCCTCCTCCTCCTCCTCCTCCTCCTCCTCCTCCTCCTCCGCCTCCTCCGCCTCCTATTCCCTCTCCTCTTCCTCCTCCTACTCCTCCTCATTCTCTGAACCGTTATTTTTGTTATTATGGGGTTCAACATGTGGCCGAAGGGTGGCGGACGGGGGGGTCTGGGTACGAGCTGGTGCTTCGCCGATCTGCGTCTGCCAGTCTCGGGGTCCTGACCAGCCGCCAAAAACAGCAGCCAAAAGCAGCCAAGGTCTGTTCTTTTAGGGGGGGAAGGGGGGCGGGGACCCGCGCCGAGCGGCGAAACAGTACATAACATGATCGACCCACGAACCCCGAAAATGATTTCGAACTGCGAGGCATGGAAACGGCGATGGGGAGTGGCAGCGCTGAAGATATCAATGGTGATGACACTGTGCCAGGGGATGTGTTATGCTGCTCTGCGCTTTGCCGCGCCGCACAGTGGCGTGCCAGGCGACCGGCCATTGAACGTGCCAGTGGACGTGCCAGTGGACGTGCCAGGGGACGTCCCAGCACGCCGCGCGATGTGCCAGGGGGACGCGCCACAGAACGTGCCAGGGGGACGCGCCACGGAAAGTGCCAGCGAACATGCCAGGGGACGTGCCAGGGGACGTGCGTGCCATGGGACGCGCCTCGCGACGTGCCCAACGGAGGCGCCAGGGAACGTGCTGGATATGGTGATGATACTGTGCCAGGGGCTGTGTTGTGCTGCTCTGCGATGTGCCGCGCCGCACAATGACGTGCCAGGGTACGCGCCATGGAACGTGTCAGTGGACGTGCCAGGGACGCCTCCTCCTCCTCCTCCTCCTCCTCCTCCTCCTCCTCCTCCTCCTCCTCCTCCTCCTCCTCCCTCCTCCTCCTCCCTCCTCCTCCTCTCCTCCTCCTCCTCCTCCTCCTCCTCCTCCTCCTCCTCCTCCTCCTCCTCCTCCTCCTCCTCCTCCTCCTCCTCCTCCTCCTCCTCTCCTCCTCCTCCTCACTCCTCCTCCTCCCCTCCTCCTCCTCCTCCTCCTCCTCCTCCTCATCCTCCTCCTCCTCCTCCTCCCTCCTCCTCCCTCCTCCTCTCCTCCTCCTCCTCCTCCCTCGCTCCTCCTCCTCACTCCTCCTCCTCCTCCTCCTCCTCCTCTCCTCCTCCTCCTCCTCCTCCTCCTCCTCCTCCTACCTCTCCTCCTCCTCCTCCTCCTCCTCCTCCTCCCTCCCTCCCTCCTCCTCCTCCTCCTCCTCCTCCTCCTCCTCCTCCTCCTCCTCCTCCTCCTCCTCCTCCTCCTCCTCCTCCTCCTCCTCCTCCTCCTCCTCCTCCTCCTCCTCCCCTCCTCCTCCCCTCCTCCTCCTCCTCCTCCTCTCCTCCTCCTCCTCCTCCTCCTCCTCCTCCTCCTCCTCCTCTCTCCTCCTCCTCCTCCTCCTCCTCCTCCTCCTCCTCCTCCTCCTCCTCCTCCTCCTCCTCCTCCTCCTCCTCCTCCTCCTCCCTCAAGCAACTTGGGCTCGAGCATTTTGCTGGCGCCCAGGGCCTCTGCACTTCCACGCAGTGCTTGAGGGACTAGGTCCTAGGCGGCTTGCCACACCGCCAGGGCCTCGACAAAGACAGAGGCAGAGCAGCCACCGCAGCCATGGCTCCAGGTGCTTATGGCAAGCCCCTGTGGAGCAGGTGCACGTGTGGCAGATGTGAGTGGAATTCAGTTTTGGCGATGAACAAACTTGTATGTCAGGGGTGCAGGAAGAAGGTTGTGTTGTTCCGCCCCAATCACAGTCCCAGGGTCACGTTCCAGCAGGACACGGCCGGCTGGGATGACGAGTTTCAGGATTGCATCGAGGATGTGGACCAGCCGCAGGGAATCCTGAAGCCTCGCAGCCGCAGCAGCTCGCCAGGAGGACACAGTGGCACACCTCCTCGGAAGACGGGCAAGGGCGGCCGCGGCGGAGGCGAGGTGACCGACCTTCTCCAGAAGGTTATCTTAGCCACAGACGACGAGGGCCTGCAGTCCACGCTGAAGGCCCAGCTGAAGAGGCTCGAGTAGAGCCCCGTGGAGGCGCTGCGCTTGGCTGATGGCGCCTACCGCAACGCCACACACCTTCATGAACAAGCTGTGGCGTCGGTTATGCGGTTACGTTCGAGTCTCTTGGCGGCAGAGAAGAAAGAGCAGGCAGCGGCTATGAAGTTGGCTGAAGCACAGGAGGCCAAGGCGAACGCGACGAAGAAGCTCGCGATCGCTGAGGGGGTTGGCTCGTTCCCTACCTCGTCAGAGCAGAGCGAGACAGATGGCCCCATGTTCAGGATCAAGTGGGACCAGAAGTTCTTTGACAATCTGCCAGAGCTGGAGTGCACCGAGTCGGAAAGGCAGGCACTCGAGAAGCTGCAGAAGGACCTCCTCGCCACGCGCACGAGCTTGGCCACCAAATCGGAGGAGGTCAAAGCTTGGATGGAGCAGGCGAAGAAGCACCAGGCAGTGATCTTAGAGAGGATGGCGAAGAAGCGGAAGGCGGACTCAGGCGAGGCGACGGCAGCCACGGGCGAGGCTGAAGGCCCAACCGCCCAGGCAGCCGACGCTGGTGCGCCAGCGCCCGCCGCCGCGAAGGCGACCATCAACACGGAGACGGACGAGCAGAAGCAGAAGCGCCTCCAGCAGGAGGCGAAGAAGATCTCGGACGCGAAGTTCCAGGCGCACCAGTCGGCGGCCAAGGCGAAGGGCAAGGGCAGCGAGCTGACGGCCGAGACTGGCGGTGCTCCTGGAGGAGCGGCCGCTTGACAGGAGGCTGGGGGGCGCACCTCAGGCCCCGCAGTCAACATCTGAGGTCGACGGAGAGACGCACATGCTTGCGGCGAACGTGACCGAGCTCTCCGACACAGCTTGGAACTACATGTCCAAGAATTCAGCGAAGTACCAGCTCTGGGGTATCATCGAGACCCATGTGCATGAACGTGAAGAACTTCAGAAGTGCGACCAAAAGGCCAGGCATATGCACTACCGATTGCACCACAATCCAGCGCGCAGTTCTGGCAAGGTCGTTTCGGAGCGCAAGCAGCACAGATCGAATGAAGGTGGAGAAATGTTCTTGGGCAGGAAACATTTACAGGCAGCTCGTGTTGCTCGTGCTCAACTGTCGGAGACTGGCCATTCGGCCTTCGATGGTTTTTTTTACCGATTGCCATCACTTTCAACGGGTACAGCATGATCATAGTGATCATATACGGACATCCTTCCCTCGGCATGCGCGGCCTGAACAAGACCCGATTCAGTCGTCTGGGCGGGTTACTACAGGCTGCGAGGCTGCCGTGGGCGATCGTCGGCGACTTCAATATGACGCCAGAGGCTGTGAAGGCCTCACTGTTCGTGCAGAGGCTCAACGGTGTGGTCAGAACGGCACCTGGCGGCGGCACGTGTGCGCAGAAAAAAGGACCAGACTCGTTGATCGATTTCATGGTGTGCTCTGAGTCGGCAGTCCCTTTTGTGAAAGACATACGGCAGGTGAGGGATGTAGCTTGGAGGCCCCACGCAGGCTTGCACATTACGTTCAGGAGCTCTGGCCTACAGTTGATCACTAGGGTCCTTGAGCTCCCCTCTAAGCTGTCTCGGCCCCCTCGCCCCCGCACGACGCCCACTCCAGGGTCCAAAAACAGCACTGCTAGGACTCAGAAGCTTGTGGCCCAAGAGGAGGCCGCAAGCAAGCGGAACGATTTTCTGAATTCAATGTTTGGGGACTGTTTCCAGTCGTCGTCTCACCTCGAGGCCCCCCAGGGCACGCACACCCAAGAAGGGCCTGAAATACCCAGTGAGATTTAGCTTGGGGAGGACTGGCCAGATGAGCCTGACCCGTGGGAAGATGCGCTCAACTTCTTATCTTGTGCGGGCGCGGGTGCGCCCCTCCCCCCTCCCCCCCCTCCTCCTCGCTGGCTGTCGGCAACCCCGCTCCCGCGCCCAGGTCCAACGAGATGTCAACCGAGGCCAGCGCCCAGGCGGCTCTTGAAGGCCCAGGCAGTTGTCTTAGAGAGCAGGTGGTGTCTGATAGCCCTCCCCCCAAGTCGAGCCAGCCCCCCGCAACTACAGAAGCTGAGAACATTTCAAGAAGCACTCCTGAGCCTGAGCCGTTAATC